AACAACAACAACAACAACAAGGTGGAAATGCAAAATCTCAGCAGCGGGGATGAACCTAATTAACCAGTTGGAAGCTCTGATCATGAGGCAGGTGGACCAGGGCTCAGTATCCCTGGCCAATAATGTTAGGTGCTGTTGAGTTGTCTCTGACTCATAGCGACCCCATGTACAACAGGATGAAACACTGCCTGGTCCTGTGCCGGCTCTGCGATCCCTGCTATACGTGAGCTCATCGCTGCAGCCACTGTGTCAATCCATCTCGTTGAGGACCTTCCCCTTCTTCATGGACCCTCCACCTTACCAAGCATGACATTGTTCTCCAGGGAATGACCCCTTCTGATAACATGATCAAAGTAGGTGAGACAAAGTCTGGGCATTCTTGCTTCCAAAGAGCATTCTGGCTGCACTTCCTCCAGGACGGACCTGTTCTTTTAGCAGTCCATGGTACTTTCAGCGTTCTTCGCCAGCACCGCAACTCAAAAGCATCGCGTTGATCTTCCTTATTCATTGTCCAGCTCTCACATGCATATGTTGTTGTTGTTGTTATGTGCCGTCGAGTTGGACCTGACTCATAGCGACCCTTCCTTGGGTTTCCAAATATGAGGCGATTGAAAATATCATGGCTTGTGCTAGGCACACCTTAGTCCTCAAGGAGACACTTTGCTCCTCAGCACTTGAAAGAGGTCCTTTGCACTGACTTGCCTAGTGCTGTACGTCATCTGATGTCTTGACTGCTGCTTCCATTGGCCAATATATTGGCCAATAATAGTGGAATGCTAAAGAAATGCTGCTCCATTAACCTTCATATGCATCTCTGAGATTTAAGGCATTTCTATCAGAAAATAATGTTAACTGCACTCTACTTAGAGACCACTGGCTGCCAGAAGCTTGGCTCTCTCTGTTAAAAAGTTACTAGTGCTAGAGGGAGGCCTTAGAAAACATAATGGCTCAGAGTGAGACTTGATGCCTGATCCCATGAGAAGAATGAAATGAGAATTGAAGAGGGAATACATATGTATGTATGTATGTATTTATGCAGGTGTTTCCTCTTCTCCCCTCCCACGCCTGGTAGCCAACAAAGAAAATTTCCTTCCATGTGTAAAGCTTTCCTTGACTTTTTACAATATTCAATTAATACTATATTTGTCCTGTGATTGGCTTATTTCACTCAGCATAATGTACTCCAAGTTCATCCACATGATACAGAGTTTTGCAGATTCTACATTATTCTTTAGTGTTGCATAGTGAGGGAATAATTTTTTAATCTATGATTCAATATCATTTAGTTCCATATCAGCATGCCAATTAAAATAATCTCTCATACCATATTTTGGGAAAATAGATCTAGTACAAATAGGGTGCTTCATTGGTGTTGGCTGAATTTTACTGAACACGAGTTAAGATTACTGAGAAGAGAGTCAGGAATCTCAAAGGCACCGATTCCAATGTTGTTGATATTGTTGATTGATGTACAATCAGTTCTGACTCATGGTGACCTCACGTGTGCAGAGTAGGACTGCTCCAAAGGGTTTTTAAAGCTGTTCCCTTTTGTAAACATCCCCGGGCTGTCTTCCAAGGCACCTCTGGGTGTGTTTGACCTCCTAGCCTTTTGGCTACCAGTCTGGTGCTTAACTGTTTGTACCACTCAGGGACTGCTGATATTGTTATAATGAGACTCAATTTCATTGGATGCCTACAGGGTCAGTATATTCTGTCATTTTGACATATTCGTGTTTATGTCTTTTGTTTTAGCATCCTTATTTTCCTGTATTGATAAGGTGACCTCATGTATCAGTTTGCCAGGATATTCCAGTTTTCATCTGTTTTTTGAATGTATTTATTAACAGTGTTTCCTTTCACTATTAACAATATCTTGATTTGGATGATAAATTATATGCTTCCATTATTTATGATTAACTGTGCCATGGATTGAATTCTGTCACCACAAAATATGTGTCAGCTTGGCTATTCCCAGTCTTATGTGCTTGTCCTTCATTTTGGCATCTGATGTAATTTTCTTCCATTTTGGGATCAGTGTGAGGTGTATCTTGAACCATATTGTTGTTGTTAAGTGCCGTCGAGTCAAACCTGACTCCTAGCGACCCCTCCTTGGGTTTCCAAGGTGGTGTCACTACGGAAGTAGATTGCCCAACCTTCCTTCCAAGGAGTGGCTGGTGGATTTGAACTGCCAGCCTTCTGGTTAGCAGTCAAGTGCCTTAGGCACTACACTACCGAAGTGTAATGGAAGTCATATTCTTATTTAAGTCACACCCTTGCTTGAGTCACATTTTTATCTTACAAAAGTAGTGAGAAGTGAGTAGATGGGGGAGGGAAAGAAGAAACAAGAGTGTGGGGCATGTCCTTTGGATCTGGGGTCCCTGCACTTAGAAGCTCCTAGACCCAGGGAAAGATTGATGCTGAGACATACCGAGAGCTCCAAGGAGCGCTGGGCCCACAGATGCTGCAAGGAGACCAGGATCTTCCCCCCCGAGCTGACAGAGAGAGAAAGCTTTCCTCTAACTCTGCCCCCCTCAGTTTGGGTTTCTAGCTCCTAAACTGTGAGAGAGTAAATTTCTGTTTGTTAAAGCCATCCACTTACGGTATTTCTATTGGAGTAGCACCAGCTAACTAAGACAAACATTAATGTTAATTATCATTTTGTGTATTTATCACCTTAAGCTATTATCCTTCAATTGCACATTGATTGTGTAGTCTACAAACATATCTGACAATTGCTGCCCTGAGCTAACAGCACCATCGAGGCCTGGAAGGGTTAACATGCCTCCCTACACCTCTAACTTAGCTTTCAAGGTGAGCCGTAGTCACAGGAGGACAGATCCATTGCTATCCTGTCATGAGAGCATCTAGCATACTTCGTTAACCCAGCAGGACAGTACTTAGTTAACCCAGCAGGACAACAGTTGAACCTAAGGGTAGGAGATCAGTACCAGAAAGTAGTGTGTAGGTAAAGGGTTCAATCCCTGGCTATGAAGCAGGGTCACTAGGGCAGGGGAAGAAGCTAAGAATATGGAAGAAACAGAAGGAGTGAGGAGGGAGACCCTGCTAGAGCAACCCAACTACTTCTGCTCGAAGACATCTTTCCAAGGGAATGTTAAATGGGTAGCTTATGCCTTATATCAAGCATCTTCTGCCCTTTGCTATCTTATCAGCACTTCTGGTTTCTGACTATCTACCTTTAGCTAGGGTGCTTCCTATAAAATGCAGTCCAGCTCAGACTGCTTAGACATGATTCACTTTTTAAAAAATGTGAATTCTGTTGAAGTGAATATCAAAGGTGATTTTTTTAAAGATGCATTTTGATGGTATATATATCAGGGTGACTTTGTGGAGAATAAAAAGGAGGAGTGATATTGGAGAACAACGAGAAGGGCCCAAGGGAGACAGGTGAGGAGGGGTGGTGTTACTTTCCAAACTCTGTGATTGACTTTTTCACGTGTATGTTGTTGTTGTTGTTGTTATGTGATGTCGCGTCGCAGCCGACTCATAGCGACCCCTCCTTGGGCTTCTGAGGTGGTATCTCTACAGAAGTAGATTGTCCAATCTTTCTTCCGAGGAGTGGCTGGTGGGTTTGAACCGCCAGCCTTCTGGTTAGCAGTCAAGTGCCTTAGGCTTCACATTTTCCTTTTCTCCAGAGCAACAATTTTCCCTCTTTCCCCACTGCCTGTATGAGGTCAGTATAAACACTCGGTGTCTCTCTTGCATCCAGGCCTGACAGTACTGGGTCTCTCTACAGACTTTCAGCTTGATCTCATTGGTTGCTGCTACCAGCACTAGACTTAGAGCCTGGGTTTCATTTTACAAATTGTCCAGGATCAGCCAGCTAGTTAAGGGAGGGAACTTTAAGTAGATTCCAGGTTATTAGACACGTGATCCAATCTCTTTTCCCTTCTCCTCAAGTGACCTTCCATCTTATAATAATACCTTTTTCAAGTGAACTGATTAGAACATGCTCTTTTTGTACACTTTATTGATTTAAAAATTTTTTTTTTTTTTATTGAAGAGGCAGAGAGAGAAGTGGAGGTTCTCGACTCTTCTATTGGGATTGAGATAAATGAAGAGGAAGGTGTGAGGCTAATTTCCCTATGGATTTCTACTGCAAATGGATTAGGTCCAGCTGAGGAAAGTTTGGATTCATCAGTATTTGCTCCAGCGAATCTCCAAATAGTCTCCATTATGGACAATGTAACTGCCAACTCCTGAAAAGAGAGAAGAGAGGTAAGTGGTCAAATGCCCTGATGCACAATCATCAAGTGATGTGCCAAGGGTACTCACCATCTCTCCCAACCCCTTGGCACATTCCCCACAAAAGCCCACAGCCCCACACCTGAATGCTCTTGGCATTTCCACCTCATGGGACTTGTCCACATTGCTCCCTTACCTTGGCTCAGTGATATACCTCTGTTCAGAATTTCCCAGTAAGTTCTGTCGTTATTGTTGGCCTCTATGCCCTGAACAGAGGTGATGTATGGGCCCCAAGAACTCTCCTTCATTGTGAAGCTGTGAGGAAGAGTGGACTGGTTATAGGAACTCAGACTTTCCAAAGGAAAACATGTTGTTGTTAGATGCCATCAAATTAGTGCTGACTCATAGCAAACCTGTGAATGGGTTTGAGTTTTTTTGGTTATATACTAGGAAGTTGCTGTGAGCCGGAATTGACTCAATGGCAATGGGTTTGATTTTGTGTACTAGAAGAGGTTTTGTGTACTAGAAGAGGTCCCTGAGTGGTGCTAAGAATTTGCACTCAACTACTAACCGAAAGATTGGTGGTTTGAAACCACCCAGCAGTGCTGCCGAAGAAAGACCTGACCCCCTGTTCCTGTTAAGGTTACAGCCAAGAAAACTCTATGGAACAGTTCTACTCTGTGACACATAGTGTTGCCATAAGTCACAGTCGACTTGATGGCAGCAGACATATCCTAGAAGATGGAAACTCTCCCCTCCTTTAAGCGCCGTGAGATGGAGATGAATAGCAAATGCACCAATTAAGATGTGCTTTCAATACACTTTGTGTTCAGGTAACATTAGCAGATATGTTCCTACTGAGTTTTCAGAAATTCATAGTCAAGGTCTTTAGTTGTTTATGTTGTTGTTGTTGTTATGTGCCGTCGAATCGGCCCCGACTCATAGCGACCCCTCCTTGGGTTTCCGAGGCAGTATCACTACGGAAGTAGGATAGCCCAACCTTCCTTCCGAGGAGTGGCTTATAGACGTACCCAAATATAGTCTTGTTTTGTTTCTGAGCTTCCTCCATCACATCTAGGAAGACAGACCCACTCGGCACAGTGACGTTGGTGGAATACGTTTTATTGATTTTCACGGAGTAATGGACTTTGATAAGTGAGGGTGAGGTAGCAGGTGTCACAGATCCAGACACAGGAATGGAGATGTTCACAGCTGAAGACAGCAAAGAGAAAACACTATTCAGAATTTAAAAGTTGATGGAGTGTGCTCACCCAGTAAACCTTACTAATTTCCCCTTTGTGCCAAGGATTTGATACAAGGAGCAAGTGTCATTGATGGAGGGACAGATCTGTCATAGGATACAGCAAGAATTTAAACCAGGGACTCACAGGCTTGTGAAATGCTGGTGTTCAGCCCAGCTCCCAGCTGTGTAAGCACCTCAGCTCTTCCAACTCCCCTTTCTCATAGAGGCTCCTGACTTTTTTTTTTTTTTTTTTTTCCTTTGGTAAAGCATACAGTAATGCTTGCTATTTTTACTTCTTAACATTTAGTGAAAACATGTTAAGTGCCAGGCCCCCATACTACTCATTTTACACGGATCATCTCACTCAAACCTTAGGTTATCATTCACTATAATCATTCCTGTTTTTCATATTAGAAAATAGGCTGAGAGGTTAAATATTTTAGAATGGACAGAGAAAGAAGGAAAGATCTCTGTCCTGCCTACCATTTTGCAAGACTAGTTGCTCAAATAAACAATCCATCCTACAATTTTCTGAGAAGACTGCCATATTCCTTCCACATAGATGTCTTATTTCCCTGATGGCTGACTCACTGAAGATGATGGAAAGCCAAAGACAAAATACAGATTCTCTATTTCTGCTGGGAATTGTACTCAGAACAACTCTCTGGATCAAGTGATCAGAGAAGCATCCCGGTGGAGATAGATGTCATTTGATCAACTACCTTGTTGATCAGTATTTGAACCAAGAACCACATTTACTATCTTGGGAAGCACAGGTCATCAGGTTGTTGTAGTACCTGAGGAAATATGGAGGATTGAGTTCTGTCTCAAACTGTTATGCTTTAGAGGTTGATCTGATCACTCTTGGTCTCTGAGAACATCCAGTTCTCATAAGATTTGAGTGTTATGCAAAAAGGCAAAACAGTTTCCACTTTAGTGCTTATACCTGAACTGTAGACGCAAGGAGAGTCTTTGTTAACATCCAAATAGGTCTTTCCCACTAGGGCAGGTAATATCTGGGCTGCAGCAGTTGGAATATTGAATGCTCCCTGAGAAATTTCCTTGAGCACTGTTTGTAGAGTCTTTTGGCATTCAGTTTCATTGTAATATTTTGATGACACAAAGAGGGCCTAATAATGTGAGACAGAAAGAAAGAGAACATGGATGAGAGAAACGAATTAAGTGAGAAGCCTACATCTAACTTACTGTATATTTTATACAAATATTGCAGGCCCTCTACCAGAACTGTTTTACTTAATTTTATCATTTCCGTGCATTATATTTGTGGGTGCATTATTTACACAGGCGCCTTATTTGCAGAAAATATGGTAATTCAGTAAGTACTTATTGAGCACTGACCACATATCGTTGTTGGTAGGTACTGTTGAGTCAGTTCCAACTCACAGCGAACCTACGTACAACAGAACGAGACCCTGCCTGGTCTTGTGCCGTCCTCACAATCACTGCTGTGCCTCAGACCATCCTGCAGCCACTGTGCCAGTCCATCTCACTAAGGGACTTCCTCTTTGTAAGTGACCCTCTACTTTACCAATTATGACGTTCTTTTTCAAGGACTGGTCCCTCCTGATAACATGTCCAGAGTACCAGAGATGAGGTCTTGGCATCTTCACTTCCAAGGAGTATTCTGACTGTACATCCAAGACAGATTTGTTTGTTCTTTTCACAGTCAATGGTGCACTCAGTATTATTCTCCAACACCACAATGTGAATGCATCAGTTCTTCAGTCTTCCTTAGTAATTGTCCAGGATTCACATGCATATGAGGCAGTTGAAAGTGCCATGGCTTTGGTCAGGTGCACCTTAGTCTTCTAAGTGTCAGCCTTCCTCTTCAGCATTTTAAAGAGGTGCTTTGCAGCAGGTTTGCCCAATGCAGTTTGCCATTTGATTTCTTAATTTCTGCTTCCATGGACATTGATTGTGGATCCAAGTAAAACGAAATCCTTGACAACTTCACTCTTTTCTCCATTTATCATAATGTTACTCATTGGTCCAGTTTTTTGTTTTCTTTATGTTGAGGCCTAATCCATACTGAAGGCTGTAGCCTTTGATCTTCATCAGTAGGAGCTTCAAGCCCTTTTCATTATCAGCAAGCAGCGTTGTGCCATTGCATGTCACAGGTTGTTAATGAGTCTTCCTCCAATCCTGATGCTGTGTTCTTCTTCATATAGTCCAGGTTCTTGGATTATTTCCTTAGCATACAGATTGAATAAGTATGAGGAAAGGATACAACTCTGACGCACACTTTTCCTGATTTTAAATCATGCAGTATCCACTAGTTCTGTTTGAATGACTGCCTCTTGGCCTGTGTACAGGTTCCTCATGTGTGCAAGTAAGTGTTCCAGAATTTCCATCCTTTGCAATGTTGTCCATACTCTTTTATGGTCAACACAATTGAATACCTTTGCATAGTCAATACAACACAGATAAATACCTTTCTGGTATTCTTTGCTTTCAGTCAAGATTCATCTGACATCAGCAATGATATCCTCATTCCATAACCTCTTCTAAATCTGGCTTGAATTTCTGGCAGTTCCCTGTTGATGTACTGCCGCAACTGTTTTTGAATTATTTTCAGCAAAATTTTACTTGCTTATGATATTAATGATGATGCTGTTGAATAATCTCCACATTCTACTGGATCACTTTTCTTTGGAATGGGCACAAATATGGATCTCTTCCATTCATTTGGCCAGGTAGCTTTCTTCCAAATTTCTTGGCATAGATGAGTGAGCACCTCCAGCACTGCATCCTTTTATTGAAATATTTCGATGACTATTCTATCAATTCCTGGAGCCTTGCTTTTGCCAATTCCTTCAGTGTAGCTTGGACTTCTTCCTTCAATATCATTGATTCTACCTTCAATATCATATACTACCTTCTGAAATGGTTGAATGTTGACCAGTTATTTTTGGTATGTTGTTGTTGTTATTA